GCCCCAGCCATGTCCCACTCCCTCCTTTACCATGGAGGCCTCAATCTGCCCTCCCCCCGCATAGATCTACCTGGAGGGAACAGTGGGAGCTGCTTTTTATGCTGCCTGGATGCCACATGCATGTATGCACGTGCACATGCACATAACACCCCCTGCCTGATCGCCCCCCCTCCCGCTCCCACCAACTGCAAACAGCCCCTTGCAGGCGGGAACTCTGCCTGACTGTAAGGGGAACCCACCATTTTCTGCTTTTTTCTGCTTTAAAGGAGAAAATCCATGTTTTTCTGCATTATTCTGCAATGAATGGACAACCCAGATCCCTGTATGACTGGTCAACACTGTTGAGTGACTTTGCAACCTCCTTTTTATCATTGTGACCCCAAATGGGGTCGTGACTCCAAGGCTGGGGTCGCTGGTCTATAAGGTGCCAGTCTACTCTGGCTTCTGCCTGACTTCAGACTAACACAGCTAAATAATTCTCTCTTTCTGCTTATATGTGTACAAGTTTGCAAGATCGGGGTTAAAAGATCATGTCTATTGAAATAAAGAGAGGTTCAGGGTTTCACTGACATCCTTACTCATCCCAACATGCTCAACCCCCACATTAATTAGCTATCTCAGATGAACTAGTTGTCTCCCTGCTCTGGGTATCGTGTAAAGGCATTGTGTTTCCACCTCCTGTATGTTCCTCAGTTAGTTTCCCTAGGATTATCAAACCTTTTAAGACAAGCAGGTCATGGAGTTTAGTATAAGAGCTAGAAGAATCCATGATTGCTGCACCCGTGTTAATCAAACAATTGCAGTATTTCTACCTTCAGGACCATTTCCAAACCAAAGGAACTGAAAGCTCTAGACGAGCTCCTTTTTCCAGAACAGGGTGGGGTGGGGGAGTAAGAAAATCCAGTTGATTAATTCAGTTAATTTTTTTTAAAGTGCAAAGACATCACACAGCTAGAATACAGGGTTCTTACATTGGTGGAAAAGAAGTCGCATCTCGCACACCATGCCATGGTTCCACTGGCTGGGGTGGGGAAAATCTCAGAGAACCCACAGGCGGTTTTGCAAAAGGTATCCCCAGAAACACCTGCGTACGTCTGTCAGTTCCCTTGACAGCAACCTCTTTTCCTCGGAGTCTCCCATATTTGGTAACTACTTCTGGCCTCTCAACTTCTTGTCCTGCGTAATATAAGTTATAGATGAGCAAATTCTAACTGACTGGACAAATTAATGGCCTGATCCAGTTAAAGCAATGGGACCCCCTTGGTTGATGCCAAGCTACATCTGCCATTTTTATTTTTCCTTAAGGATTTCCATTGCTTTGATGACTCAAAGTAAGCGTAGACATCAGAGACATGGATTTCTTCCTCTGCACTGTACTTTCCTCCCAACAGTTTCTCTTTTCCTAGCAATTAGATTTTCCAAGTTATAGGGACTATAAGAGCAACACAGACTTGGATCCTGCGGTCCAATCCAGAGACAGGCCAAAGCTGAAAACCCATGTTCAAACATTTCCCTGGATCTGGAACATTTGAAATCTGGATCCAACAAGAATTTTTGGCTCATACTTATGGCTACAGGCTGGATGTGAGAAAAGCCTGGAGTGCCATTATGATCCTAGCGAGGTTTTATAGTCAGCCCCACCTCAGGGCATGCTGGCACACACCACAAATACCAATGTCCAAGGTAGCCTGATAAGCTCCCCTCTGGCCATGACAGCTGTACTCTGCAGAATGTATGTGAAGCAACAGCATTTCACAGCTCTACCCACACACTCCCCAGGTTGTCAGCAGAGAAGCAGCTTTCCTTTTTCCCCCTCATGGTAAGTCTGCTCTGAAATACAGGAATGACAGCATTTTTGGCACCTCCTTCAGGTTTGCGGTGCTGTAGAAACACAGCAAAACCTACTGTCAGGCTTGGACAAATGGCTGACTAAGTTAAAATTGTTTTTTTTTTTAAAGTGTGCAAGCGAAAGAATGTAAGAAAGAGGCGTGCAAAGCTTTTGTACGCAAGTGAAATTCCACTGGATTAGTAGATTCATTTCTACCCGGATTAATTGGAAGGACAGCGGGTATAGATTTGGTCCAAGATATCTATGTGGGAATAACAGCTAGGTAAAAGCTGAAATATATTTGTCTATTTACCCTCAGAGCTAGTTGCATTTGGAGTCATTTTTATACATAAACATAAAGGCTCCAGGAGATTTCGACAGTGACCAAGATATTTCCAATTTTATATTAGTGAGATTTTTTTTCTCCAAAAATATTTTAATTTTTTTTTATAGTTGTTAAAAGTAATGCTGCATTTCAGAAAACCAGGTGATACAAAAGGTCACAAACTGCATTAAACCCTGCTTCTGTAATAGGGAAGGCAAGGTAGACTTATAAAGTAACAGAATCAGATTTAGCAAGTCTTCATAAGCAACAGATTACATCATCAGGTGCTAATGAAGTAAACCGTTGCTTACAAAAGCTCATGTACCTCTGATTTAGTCTATAAGGAGCAATTCTAGTCTGCCTTCTGCCCAACTTTGGACCAACATGGCTAACTACCTCTCTCTCATGGTGGGAGAGATCAATTTTTGAGAACACCACCCTGTGTAAGGGAGGATCTGCAAACTCTGTCACCAGTCATCTGGGGAAGAAATAAAATAAGATGGGGTTTGGGGGTAAAAAAAGAAATTTGGTCCTGACAAACGGTTGAGTGAGTGACAGATGGACTCCCCCACTCTGTTTGCCCCTAGAGCAAGACTTACCTTCAGCTTGAGTTGTGATCAACCATGCTGCCCAGACCAGAAACCAAAGCAGGGGAACCTTGCCATGAGATGACATTTTCTTCTCTCTGCTTGAATGCTTTGCTGGTTTCCTTGCATTAACTGCTGAAAAAAACCCAACCCAGACAGACATAAAGGTTGTCAGTTAAGGGAGGCCCAGCTAACATTCTCTTTCAAACACACCCTTGGGTAGAAACGCCTTGAAATCTGTGTTTAAAACTGAGTTTGGACTCACATTCTTACTGCAAACAAGATAGTAATTTGATGCCAAGGGTTGGCCGAGTTGAACTTTGACCACCTTTCCCTCCCTCCCTCCCCCTTTGCCCCACATGGAGTGTCACACCCAGTCTCAGGTTTCTCCTGCCAGCAATGGGAGCAGGGTGTGTGGCCGCAGGAAATGTGGTAGCAGCACAAATTATCTGCAGTGAGGAAACAAGAAAAATCTGATCAACTGGGCTGCTGCCCTGGGGATAAATTTCAAGAAACAGAAGAAAAATTGTTTGATATAAAACAGTCACAACGAAAACTTAAGAGAGCATGTGGCATTCTCACTCAGGTTATATGCTTAAAAAAAAAAAATCAATTTACCTTGCCTGGCTTTGGATTTGCTACTGGATGCAGTGCCTTCTCCTGAAATCCCACTGATTTAAATGGAGCCGGCTCACAGGAAAGTTAAACAGAGATAGCAGTTCAAGCTTGGTAGGTGATTACAGTAGGAAATGACAGCATCTTTACCAAGTGACTCAATACTCTGAGGAAAATTTCCCAACACAACATGGGCCAATCAAAAGCAAGGGCTGATTGAAATTGTGCCAGAAGTCGTGGTTGTAACTGTTAAAAATATGTTTGCTTATGCATCTACAAGCATTTAGGGGACCTTTCCGAGGCCGACAGTCTGTGAAGTCCAGCGTGTGGTCTGCCTGAAGTTATTGTCTGTGTGTTGGGGAGAAGGAGGATACCAGGCCACCTCGGGTCTAGAGAAGAATGGCATACTACAGTACTCGCAGCACAGTGGGGCTGAATACAAATGTTTTACAGCCCACCCGTTGGTTTCTTTTTAACACCGCATACCTGTAAGAAGCCAGCGTCCCATCGTACAGCACTGCCTGCTGCTCTTCCCCCCGACGCAGCGTGGGAATGCTGTACTCAGTGCTAGTCTGGCAGGATGTCGAGGTTACATTCCTTCACAAAACACTAGCTAGGGCACAGCTAGGTGGCAGGTGTACCATCATAGTAACTTGTGGGCATCTCGTACAAGCGTGTGTCCACAGTGGGGGCTTGATACCAGCCATGGTGGAAAGCTGGCTCTGCCTCCAAGGCTCTGATTTTCAGGGACAAGCCCATGAAAACTGAGCAGAGATGGTAGGATATCCCAGCACACTTCCTGCAGCAAGGCCTTTTATCCAGAAGACCAAGACACAATGAGGACAGCAGCTGCTGCAGGGCCACAGAAGGCTGGGATCAGTTTCAGCATGTGGCCCTGCAGATTCCTGGCCAGCGACTGAGGGACCTAGTGGGCTGGTGCATGTGACAGGACCATACAGAGCCACAGCTGTGAGGGTGGGAGCTGGAAGCAGCAGTGCTAAGGAGCTGAGATAGGGGCCAAGTGTAGGGTCAGACAGGACTCAGCAGAGAAGTCTGGGCCAGAAATGAGACCAAGGTGGTGACAGATGTCACACGTGCAGCAGAGACTGGCCGGGGCTGGGCTGGTTTGGAATTGGCATTGGTGTATTGGTGACAAAGGTGACAGATACTGATACACTGATTCTTTGTACTGACGGTGGTATTGTAGTCATTCCTCTCTCCTCAAGATAGCAAAAAGGTTTCCACTTTAATCCAAAGGGAGAGTCTGGAGCTCAGTACCAGCAACACATTAGAAATAAGTGCTGAAAAGCTAGGACATGCAGTGCTGGGGCAACCCCAGCCCTTCCTTATAAGAAAGTTGGCAGTAGGTTTTAAACAGAACAAAAGGAAATGAAACAGCATTATCTCACTGTCTAACGATTGAAGGAAGACTGAATTCTAGCACTCTCATTATGTAGGGTATTTAGAAGACTACTTAAAAACACTGGAGCCTTTCACCACTGCTTGCTAGGTCAAACTATAGAAGCAAGAGGCTACAGAGAGAATACATTTTTTTTCAAACTCTCTTTAGAGTGCCCATGTCTGTATGAAGTGTCTGGTCTCATGGATAGGCTGTTGCATCACAATCAAATAAAGCTTTGTTTCAAGATCACATCTTTATTGATGCAGCTTTGTTAAATTGGTGCTCATCTGGTGATTGTGGGGGACTGAGCACAAAGGAGAGCAGGCAACTGGGATTGTTAAATGTCTCTGACAAGTTCAGGAAAGCATCAAAATGAATGACAGAAGGGAATTATTTAATGTAAAATTGCTTGGCATGGTATCTTCTATCTGCAGATGGTAAAGGCAAGAGTTAAAAAGGAAAGAAGCATCTCTCAATACATCAGATCATTTATTTTCTAGGAGAGGTGTTTGTTCTGTCATGACAGTAGCCGGGTAAACACCTAAATGATTAGAAGCAAATGATAATGATTCCATGTTCATGCTGGCTAAGCTATAACTCTCCATGTTCTTTCTTGTTTTCAGCACTTTTCTCCTTGATTTTTTCAGGCACTATCTTTGTCCAGAATTCCACTCGCTTTTTTTTCAGCTGCTTTGCTTTCTTCTGCTCTAGATTTATCTCTAGGTATCCTTCATCCAGGTTATAAGATGGCCATTCTGCCAAACCTTCCCCATTTGGGTTTCTGGAAATAGAGTAAATCCCCTATTTAATCTGCAGAGGCACTTACCCACAGCTGCACACACACTTTCAACCAATGTTTCACAAATCTCACCCATTTCGAGCAAAGTTAGCCCAGTATTTCATTAGAGTTCTGCTGAGGTGCTTTTCTTCCTCTGTAACTTCATCTGAAGGAAATAAAAGGAAAGAATAACTGTACTGTGTAGCAGAAAGTAAAAAATAAATTAAATATTCATTGCATGAAGGAGTAGAACCCAGCTGTCCCAAAGAAGTGTCCCACCCACATGAGGAATTAAGGTGGGTCTCCACTGTCCCTCCAGTTGGAGCCATTCCACTTGAATAACATACTTAAATATCCATTGAGCCAGAGGGGAAGAGCAAGAGTAGCTCTGTAGCTGGTGAGGAGGGCATTCACATGCTAGGAGGGATTTGGGTTCTGGTCCCTGCAGTAGTGACTATTATTTTATACAGAAACAATGTCAGCAATAGTGATTGCTGAGTAGCTGATAGTGGCTAGGCATAGGTGGAAGGAGAAAATATTATTTGGGGAGGGGCTGAGCATATGTGCATTTGCACACATGCACCCCCTCCAGCAGGTAAATCTGTCATGGCGAAGGGGTGTATGGGGCAGATTGAGGCCCCTGCAGGTGAGGGAGGGAGTGGGGCAGAGTCAGGGTGGGGCTGGGGTGAATGGGGCTCCTGGGTCAGGGCAGATCACAGGACACTCAGAGCCTAGGTGGCTCATCCAGGGGCATGTGTGTGTGTGTGTGGGGGGGGGCAGGGAGGGGCTCCCCTAGTGGAGGCCCGTTCTGCGCACAAGGTGGAGGCAGCTGCCGCTGCGGGCTGGGTTCTGCACCCTGTTACCACTGCCTTGGGAGTGGTGCGATGCTGTGTGCTCGCCACCACCAAGTGGGCAGGGGACATGGCACGGTCAGCGTGTGGCAGGCACTTGGCATCATGCAGTTCTCAAGGTGGTGGCAGCGGGGCACAGAGCCCAGCCCACAGCGGCAGCTGCCTTTGTCCCGTGCACAGATCCAGAGTGTACGAAGCAGCGGGAGTGCCCTGGGCTCTGAACATCCCGCAACCTGCCCTGGCCCTGCCCTGCCTCTGCCCCACTCCCTCCATCACCCACGGGGGCCTTGATCTGCACCCCCATGCCTCTTTCCCATGACAGACTTACTTGCTGTGGTGGGCAGTGCTCTACTCGCTGCTGGGCTGCTGCAAGCTGCGGCTGAACATCTGTCTCTAGCCCCCTTCTCCCCACACTGCAGCTGCCTGCACTAGGGCTGCCTTATGGCCCTCTGCACTGCCACTGCTGCCCTATGTTTGTGAGGGCTAAGCCCTGTTAGCTCCAGCCTTCCACTGCCTATGTGGTTAGGACACTTGCTTGCGGGGAGAGTAGAGTTGCCAACTGTCCATAAATTTACAGACAATCAGTTAAAAAAAAAAAAAAAAAAAAAAGAAAAAAAAAAAAAAAAAAAAAAAAAAAAAAAAAAAAAAAAAAAAAAAAAAAAAAAAATCAGGCTAATAACACCTGTCCATAAAATCTGAAAAAAAATTGAGCTGTTCATAAAAACAGGAAGCAGCTGGAGTCAATTGAAGCTCTGTGGTGGGGAAGCAGCTGGACTCAGTCTTGAAGCACAGACAGAGCATAGTAGCATCACCTGGTGTCCAATCAGGAGCACAGCACCCTGAAGGGAGCTCTTCTCAGGGCTATGTAGACCCCTCCCTGAAAGCCATGTGTTGCTGCTAAATCCAATGACTGCCTGTAATGCTGCTGAATTTCAGGTACGTGTCTTTGGGGATCTGTGTTGGGATTGAGGGAGTGGAGTTGGCAGCAGTAAGGCTGTGGGGGCAGCATGGTGCAGTGTGAGAGGGTAGGGGAGCCCTGCACCCTAGTTTTCAACAAATTTACTCTTTGCCAAAAAACTCTCTCTTCCAACTTCCTAAGCTTCCAAAACTTAAACTCTTTACTTGAACTACCCTGATGGAGATGGAAAGGACGGCATATTAATATTAATCAATGACCAGGACAGATTACACTGTTACCCTTTGACCTTGGGATTGGCTTAGTCGCCTTTATTTGAATAAAAATAAGCATGCTAAAACTGATCCACGAGGAGCAAGTAATTCAAAAGCACTTCACTAGCCACTACTTACCACGTAGACGTATGTCACCTGCCAGGTATGGTCCTCCAAAGATAAAAGCAACTTCATCTGCATGGTCAGCTTTCACATATGCGGGTTTAGTATCTCTATATAAACTTGGGCGATGCTGATACTCAAACAAATAGGTTGCAGCACCAGACCCTAACAGAAAATAGTATCAAGAGAAGTCAGTGAAGATGAGTAATGCAGTAACGGCAACAGAGTTCAGATGTTCAAGATGCCCTCCCTTTATGAGTGTATTCCTTTACATGAGACCAGATATATTAGTCTGTCTTGCTTTGTGGGAGAATGAGCTTTAATATACAGTACCTCATTCAGTGGGTGTTCTAGCATAAGAAAAATAACAATCACAGCACATTAGCACATGCTGAAAGATCTTCCAAGCAGCCAAGATCAAAAAGAGAAAAAAGGTTAGTGGTAGCCTTCTCTTTGTATTTTGGTACACACAGTTTATACAGTGCTATCCTCAGGCCTGAGCGTGACTCAGCATACAAGGAGGAGGCCAGTACTTATACACACTGAAAGCACTATCTAACTGTCCTCAGTAAATCCTCACACAGGCCAAGTTTCTGGACAATACGATCCAGCATCATCCAAGATAGGTTTCAACATGTGATTGTTGCCTATCTAGTCAATCAGAAGCTCACCCCTGTGATAATTTAGTGTTTCCAGAGATGGCATGACAACTGCCACATCTCCCAACAAGTCCAGAAACCCATCTCGCAGCTCAGCAGAGTCATCTGTGTCTCCTAGATATTCATTGATTATCACAGGCAGAACTTCAGGTGGGACACTCTGTGAGAAAGAAGAGCAGTGAGAAATGAATGGCAAATAGATTACTGTTTGAAAAGCTGCTGAAAAGGACATTTTTCACTGCAGAGCTACTCATGAGTGAGATTGGACTGAGAAGGAAGGAGAAAGAGGGGAAAAAAAGGTTGGTTTCAGCCAACTAAGAGTGCAGCCCATTCAGATAAAGGTTTGCTTCATGCAGGCAAAGGGGCTGATGGGAATTCTTGTATTTACAAGCTGTCAGAACAAGAAAAAAGCCCCAGCTGCTTAGGCAAGAAACTGGGATGGGAGCAAGCAGGGAGGAAAGCTCCCACATTCAGGGCCAGCCTGTCCTATACTGAGAAACCTGCTGGCTGCAGGGGCTCTGCAGCTAAGAGCCCCACTGCGGATAGGCAGTGGAAGTCGGGGGCTAATGGGGCTCAGCCCCCAAACACAGGGCAGCAGGAGGCATTGCTGTAGGGCAGCCCAGCCGTAGGGTCCTACAGCAGAGGTCGAGGGGCAGGTATGCTAAGCTACCCTGTGCACTCGCTGGCTCAGCTGCAGGCAGGTAAGTTCCTTTTAAATCTGTTTTTATTTCCACGGGCTTGTGGGGAAGGTGCATAGAGACTCCCACAGTGCAGGAGAGAGCGGGGTAGGGGAAGGGTGAATCATTCACCCCTCCCCCTGGCCTGCTCCCTCCTGCACTGTGGGGATTGTCCCACAACACGGCCTGGCCCCCAGTCACCGTGACTGGGGCCTCGGCTCAGCTGGGTCATGGGACAATCTGAGCCCGGTGGCTCCTCCGGAGGCACGGTGCCAGGCAGCTGAAGGCGGGAGGGCACATGGCCCCCGATCTTTGCATGGGCGAGGGTGGGTCATAACTGTGAGCTGGGCTCAGCCTCTGCTTTGTGTCTCCACACATCGCTGCTACCACTTCAAAAGTGGTGGGCGCTGCCATATGCCTCGCTGCCCAACTCGCCCAGCGACGGGATGCATATGTTGGTGCCCGCTGCTTTTGAAGCGGTGGCAGCGAGGTGCGGAGACATGAAGCAGAGGCTGAGCTCAGCTCCTAGCTGAGGCTTACCCTCGCCCATGCAAAGATTGGGGGGGCCACATGCCCTCCCCATGCTTGACTGCCCGGTGCCGCACCTCTGGAGGAGCTGCTGAGCTCTTCCTGGGGATGATGCAGGGCGAGGCAGGGTGGGTACAGGAGTCCCGGTGGTTCCATCCCTTCCAGCCCGGCAGTGCAGCTGAGGCTGGCCCCACTCTGGGCCCCTGCTCTGGCCCGCCTCAGTTGGTGCGCTGCTGGGGCAGGGCTGAAGAGGCATCCAGGGCTGGGAGGCAGCCGAGGCTGATGCAGCCAGTGCCGGTATAGCCGGGGCCGGTGGGGTGGCTGGGACTGGGGCAGCCAGAGCCGGGAGGCAGCCATGGCTGGTGCAGCATTCGGGGCTGGTGTGGCTGGGGCCAGAGTGGCGTGGCGTGGCACCTGGCAATGCTGTTCCCCGCCTTGGCCCTTTCCCCTTCCCTATTAGACTTTCCCCTGGGGGGCCATGGGGCCGTGCACTCTCACCCCCCCCCAATTTTGTTTACTTCCTCCGCCTGTGCCCCTGTGTCCAGTCGCTTGCCACTGCTGGCTTCATGTCCAGCCACTCGCCACCCCTCCACCCCCACTGCTGTCACCACCAGCTTCCTTGGAGCAGGAGGCCTCAAAAATGGGGGGCCGGCCCTGCCCACACTCAAACACATGGGACTTTTTTTTGAGAGAAACAGTTACAGCAAATTGACTGCTGATGTAAGTGGGTTTAAACTCTGCTGGAATCAATGACGTCTAGGCCATGCCAAGCCTCTTTCCTTAGGTAGCTTCATTAAACCACCGAAGAAGTGAGGGATGGGAGAGTGCAGGAAAAGACCAATGGGATACAAGAATCTGTCCCTCTCCCAAAATGTGTCTCATGCTTTGGCTGTTTGTTGCCTGAAAACACCTAAAAGCCCAGAATTTCCATTATGGTTTATATACAAGTTACTGTTTAAGATACTGATTTATTGCAAATATAAAACAGAAAATAATTCCTGTCCTGACAAGCTTCAGCCGATATTATTGCTGGTTATGCCCTCTGAGGTTGTGTGCCTTTGCCTACCCAGTACCCAGTCCCAGGGACTTCACTGCTATTGCTCCTGGAGCATAAGCTTGGGCCCATGCCCAAGACTTCGCAAAAATCATGTGCCAAGGTGGCAGGACTATAAGCCAGAGCAAGAAAATGCAAGACTGAAGAAGAAATGTGCTACAGGTGAAAAGATAAACTGATTCTGGAGCTTAGATTAATCTCGTGGCCTCTTACCAACCATGGCTGGAGAAACTCGATTGTTGAGATGATTGATGCTCTATCGCCCACTTCTTTCAGGCCAGGAATGTTGGATGACTGCACAAAGAGACAGACACAGGTTATTCTACCTACTGGATGTCTGAGCAGATTCAATACCGGATCTTATTATATTCCAGCTATTTTGTTTGCTACTGTTTGTATTTCAGAGAGAGGCTCTGTGCAAACATACAGGAAAACACAGTTGCATCCTGAAGAGCTTATATGCACAGTTCCAGTTTGTTCTGGTAGCTATGGTTTGCACATGGTAAAACAACTTTCCATCACTCATACCCGGTATTGGTGAAGGGTTATTTACCATGAAATCAACATCCTCTGTGAGTGCCGGGCATGAGAAAATGAACTCTGATCCTTATTACAAAGTTAATGATTCCCTCAGCTAGTTAAACTGTGTCTTGGTGGAACAAACCCGAACAGGAGTATGTGACAGTCACCTGTTTATTAAAAGGCAAAACACCTGAGGCCCAGTAATGCAATGAGCTGTACACAGGCAGACCTTCTAAGACAATCTGTCTCCATGTAAGTGCAAGGGCTAGAGATGTCCAGACAAGACTTGGAAGTGTTTCTAGTGCATACTGCTGGTCTTAACCAAGGTCCACCTGACACTAGGAAGGCTCTTTGAAGAGCACTCACTGATCAAAGATTAACAATTCTGAAGGACTTGGAGTGAGGTTTGTCCTTCAGTAACTCCAGACGCTTTCCCAGCTGGCTATTCAAACTAGACTGTTGCATCTAAGAAAGTCCCATCAGCAAAACTCTCACCCGCATCCTCACTTATTAATGCAGAAAAATCAGCTTTTATGATGATCTTACAGCACGTATATTCCAGCCAAATTCATTGTTAGTTACTCCAATCATATATGGGACAGCATTGAACTCTTTTCTAGCCAGAATCTCCTTAGGTGACTTGTGAAGCAATACGCCATCCACAACTAAAGGTACCATTGGGACTTCCTGAAGGGGAAAAAAACATCATTTGTTGGTTATATTTTACTTTCTTCTTTAATGCAGCAAAATATCTAGTCCCTATGCCTACTCTAACTGCCCAACGGGGTTCAAGACGTTAGAGATCTCTGAAATCTGTGCACCAGGTTGGAACATGTTTTTTTGTACAACAGCTTCTGATTGTTGGCTTGAGTCATAATTATTTGTCTATTGTGAAAACAGGCTTCAGGTTTTACAGCTTTTAAATTAATCTCTGAAACAATTAGTGCTGGCTCGAGTTGGTACTGGTGCATGTCCACACCTGGGCTTCACCTGAAGCTATGTTGGCCCTGGTTGGCTGATGCAAAAATAAAAAATACTGCAAGAATCTGTTTGAGTGACTCTGTGCATTTTATTTCTCTGGAATTGGACTTTTAGGTTAAAGTTAAACCATCAAAAAAAAAAAGCTTTAGAAAAATTTCAGACAGGTTCAAACAAGCCCAAGTGCATATTCTACACAGAGACAGAGCAGCTTCTACTGCCATATTGCATTTTGTTACTAGGGAGAGTTTCACCTACCTGTCCCAGACTACTGTTGAAGACCATCTCCTCCTCTGTCTTCTGCCTTAAGCAGTGAACAATGGCAACTGAACTGGTTGTCTCGCAGGCATATAACTTGGCCGTTTTCTGTACGTGATTTACAAAGACAAGGATTGGTGCCGTTTGGAAGGTGGTCATAGCGAGTTTACATATAGCCCCTTCACAGCACACATGCATACTACCCTTAGCAGTGTGTTGCTAGCCCATGCTATAGAAAGAACATCACGATAACAATACCAATCAAACACAACAAGAAAACTCAAAGAAGGAGAATGAAAGGTGTACATGGAGAGAGATTTTAATTCCATGATAAACTTCACTTGACAGTATTGGTGCTAAGACATTGTTATTGGATCATCTCTTGGCCTCTTTGCTCATATTGAAAACATGTACAATGTGAGGATTCTGATCCCATATTCAGTTTCAAGATGTTTTGTTAAATTAATTACTGTGGCAGCATGTGGAGGAGCAGATGCATAACAAGCTAGTACCCCAGCGCTCAGAGAAACTCAAAACCTCCTGAAGGTGTTAGGCTCTCCAGTTAGAGTTAAACCTGGTTTCATTGCAAACTGGAAATGCATGAAAACAATTACCATTACTTTCAAAAGCTCAGCGCACATTTGCTTTGGTTTGGGGTTAGTGTAGATTAACCTCATTGGATGAAATGCAATTTAAATGTTTTCTTTCTTTTTATTTTAACCCAAACATTAAGCATAACTTTTTTTTTGTTTTGCATTCTGAACAATCTAACACACACACAAAAGAACTGACCTGAGCAACAACAGAAGATAAGGTTCCAGAAACAAGGTGTGCAGTCCCACTCTCTGATATGGCCTTATGAAATAAGCCTTTGGCCAAGGGAGACAAAACCTACCAGAAAAGGAAGCAAAGAGAATGCTAGGTGTATGTTAAAGCCATAGTCCTGTCACTCTGTACACAGATAGGTACACTATATTCCACAAGAAAGGTAAACACGTGCTTAATTTTTTCAGGATTAGGGTTTACATTTGCAGACGTTGTGCAATGTACCAATCCCATCTACTTTGTAAATGAGGTTTCAGAATTCCCACACTGAATGGTTGGGGTTTGCTTTTAAAAATTAAGTTTGCGTATTCATTGTAAGCCTACTAGTGCAGAAACAGAGACTGAGCCTGCAGACACGCCAAATATAGTAACAGATCCTGGATTGCCTCCAAAATGCTCAATATTTTTCTGAATCCACTGGAGAGCTGCTATTTGATCCAAATACGCCCAGTTTCCACGAGCATGTTCATCACCGGTACTGAAAGAAAAATCAGCAGATAGGAAATTCTCAGTTAGTACATTAGCCTTTTCTCACCATAACTAGAAAGGGAATATGGATGTCATCAAGATGCAACTATCACCTTGCTTTTATAGTGCTATAAGACATACTAAGACCCCTCATAAAACTGGAACAACACAAACCACCCCAAAAATTGATGTCACCCAAAAAACAGTGATCCCAGGCAAGACACAAGAGTGGAGGGGAATCTCTGAATGTTGTTTTAAAAAGTCTAGTGTGGCTGTGAAAGATGCAGAAAGACCAAAGAAGCAATGAGAGAAGGCTGCAGGGACCCAGCTGACATCCCAGCAGAACTGCTCGTAGGGTCCTGCTAAAAAAGATAAAGGACAGAGCTTTTGAACTGAGTGCTGGTGAGAGGCTGGGAACTGCAGACACATGAGTTGTTCTCTGACGCTTGAATTTGTTCTGTTTAGGGAAAAAGACATTTGATCTAAAAAACAAACAACCCCCCCAAAGATTGCACAAAAGGAACCCCTGGCTCCAGCATCAGTTTAAAATGTACCAGTTACATGGCAGTATCCTTGCAAGTGAGGTGGACAAAATGCTATACCTGGGTAGTGGCAGACTTGAGAATAAAACCCAAAAATCGTGCTGAAGTTTTCCATAGTGCTGCCCATGCCATCAGGACTGAAGCAGTACTGGCTTCCTGCCCTCTGCTGTGAAGATGCTGTTCACCATCCTACAGAGATCCTTGGCCTTTTATATTACCTGAACCCTGCTTTTGGTGGGGGAGGGGCGGGGGGGCATGACTGGAATAGCTATAAAGGGAATGCTCTACATAGCCTCACCCTCCATCCTAATTAGGGGGCTGCCATCAACTGGGGCTGGAAAGACTAGAATTTAAGACCCAACCCCCAATTGGAGTAAACCAGCATAGCCCAATAAAACAATAAATCTTTGAGTTAGATGCATTTAGGGTGATTTATATTAACCAGAGGAGCTGGCCCTGGAAGTTTGGTAGTCTAATCTTCTCACTGTTTCCAGTGTGATAGGAAATATTCTTGAAAGGCTAAAATAGAGTGTCTTACCTAAAGAATCCAAGAAGACCTAATCTGTACTGAATGATCACCATCACCACGTCCTCGTAGGCTGATAGTGCTGACCCGTCAAACCTGGATGCCCCACCAAAGATAAAATTGCCTCCGTGGATCCACACCATCACCTTGGAGAGAACAAGATGAAAAAAGCCTCTGTGTACCACATGAACAATTTCATCTGGGAAAGAAAATACTCTGCAGGTAGCATCATCTTTGGTGATGAACAAGCATTATTATATTTCTGTTTTGTTCATCTGAAAAGTACTAAGGACTATCAAAACTGTAGTCACAGGCTGTCTTTAGTCTAAAAAGCACTGTCCAAGACTCATGCTCTTGCCAATTATTGAAAAGGAAAGACCTGTAGAAATGTTTGAAAGAACCTAGGAGCAGCACCTGAATTCTAATGTTACCCAACAGGAAGTGAGGCCTTCACTTCTTTGCACTCCTCCAAAAATCCTCTTTCACTTTCTTAATGATCAAAATAACATTTTTAGTCCAGGTTAATATTCTGTTTATTGTGATTTTTCAGGAAAAAGTAAATTTAAAATAGTCACTCATCTAGCTAAAAAAAGCCAAATTGGAAATTCTCCACAGGTAAAGGTAAAAAATGCCTAGATAATGCTGGCATTCTAAGCCCCAACTTCAAAACTGATTTGGGCAGACAGGAACCTCAGAATGACATTCATAGGGATGGTCAGGCATCTTAACATAGGTGTGCGAATTGATTCTAAGACGTGCACAAAACAGGCTAAGCATCAAGCCTGGGAAGTGAGTTGCCAAATCCACCTATCTGGACCTGCTGTTGACTGAATACCTTGGCAGATCTGGCCCCAGCCTCAGTGAAAAATAATGGAAATCAAAACTTGTCATAAGAGATGGGATGTTAATTCTAGTGATGCCAGTAAAAATTTCAAAAGCAATTAAGTGACCTAAATGTCCAGGACTAAGTTTAGACTGTCAAGAGTGTCATCAAGTATTGCAGTTGCAATGAATTTATAAAGTTTGTACAGTTGATTGGCTTACAGGTAACTTGGTCTTCTTGTCCGAATCGGCAGGAGTATAAATATTTAGAAACAAACAGTCTTCCGAAGTTCTGAGAGGACCGTGCTTTTCTTTCCACGTTTTCTGAATTCTTCTCAGAAAGGTCAGGTCCTGGGGACAGCTTCACAAGAGAGCAGAAAGGGTGAGCCCAACAGACCACAGCTGGAGCAGCAGCAAAAGCCCACAACATTTTGCACAGCAAGAACAAAGATCTTAACCCCTACTCTGTAACTGCCTCAAATGATTGCTACTCTCTCAGGTGCAAGATGGTTTTAGGACAGTGGTACTCAAACTCTTGGTGCCATGGGCTGAGCAGCCTGGGGCCATTCTACAACCTGATGGGGTCTGTGTCCCAGGATCAGGCCCATGCTGTTCCCCTCAGTCTCACACTGCTGCATTGGGGCCACATGCACCTCCTCTGCCCCATGCTCCCTCCGCTTAGCCCTGTGCTGCAGGATCGGGCCCTGCCCCAAGTCCAGCCAGTCCCCGTGCCTGCCAATCTAGTGTGCTTACTGGCTTGTGTGTCCAAATATTTGGCAGCAGGGAGGCGGCAATTGCTACCACCACTTTCCCACTGCCCAATTTTTGGACCCAGGGGAACCCCTGTGAGCCAGACGGCAGGGCTCCATGGGCCAGATTTGGCCTGCGGGCCAGGGGTTGAGCACCACAGTTTTAGGCTAACACAGTGCTGACCAGAAAGGCTGGTGCAGGTGGCAGTATGAAGGACTGAAGCCCTGCCCCTACAGTCCCTTGCTGTGCTCTATGTACCACAGAAGCTAAAGCTGTTATTAGACCAATGGTAGGCAGCAAATATTACACTCTGGGAACAAACTGTGAGCACAGATGGTTTTAGAGTGAATTTGAATTTATGGAACAGCAGCAGCAGATCAGGGGTAAAGAATGGGAGCAAAAGACAGAGTAACCAGCAGTATCTTATGATACGTATTTCAAATTTGGCTAATCTTACTTAGAGGCTGAGCAGGCTCCAGTGCACCTCATCCAAAAGGAAGGGCATTTGCACTGGCTGCAGTCACAAAACTGCTACTGATTTCACTGACAGATTCTCCCAGTCGTTCTTTCCTGGTCCAGTGCTAAACAGTTGCATATATTTGGCCCATATTGAAACTTTAAATAAATGCATAAAGAACAAAGGCCAAAGAGAAGGCAGCGTGGATGAGAGCTGCACCTGCACCTCCTTGCTTGCAAGGAGAAATCATAGCTAAGCTTGGAAAATGTCCCAGCTCTGGGTCCTCCTGCTTGTGTCTGTATATAGAACTAAGGAGCTGGAGGGTAGAAGTGCTGCTTGATAATTAGGGTGACCATATGGGACAATGTGAAATCCAAGACACTTCCCCACCCCCACCCCCTCCAAGTCAGTGCTGCTGCAGGCAGAGGTAGGGGCAGGATGGTGTGGTGCAGCTCTGATATTACTAGTCAGGCAGCTAAGGGAGTCAATAGCCCATTAATGACCCATTGTTCTTTACCTCGTAGGTATTAACAATCATCTCCTCTTTTTAACCGTCATTCCACAATCAAGCTAACTTATTTTAGGGCAATTTCACAGCTGTGCTGCTCTGCCTCCCTGCCCCTGGGACGCTCTTTCCTGGCCTGCTGGGACCTGCCTCTGAAATCCAGGACTGTTCCGGTTAAATCAGGATGGTGGCCACCCTGTTTGTAATGATGGTCATACATGCCAAGGAATTTCAATAGGCAACAAGATACCCTGGTGCACAAAGGAAAGTATTTTAAGCAGCTTCTCTTACATTATCTAAACAGACTTATGAAAGGCTTATGAAACACTTTAGTATTGTCAGCACAGTGCCAGCCAATCCTGGCCACTCCTCAGGGTCACTCCCTGGGCCAAAGCTTGCTCACAAACAGAGCAATGAGAATGGTATGGCTCTCACAAGGGTGGGTAGGAAGTTGCATCTCTGACACCGGTCCATGGTTCAGGTGGCTCTGGAGGGGCAAACCTCAGGGATCCAACAGGTGGCTTTGCAAAAGGGATGCCAAGGAAAACATTCACGAGTCTGTCCGTTCCCTTCACGCGAGCTTGTGTCCCCTGGAGTCGCCCCTGGGACACAACCACTTCTGGCCGGGCACCTTCCTGTCCTGTGTAACACGCAAGGAAATATAATGAACACACACATGGTGACGACAGATTGGGCAGGAATCAGATTTCTCAAAGTTTCTTTCCTTTCGTTTGGAACCAAAAATCAAAATCTTGAAAATGCTTTAGTCAAGCATGCAGATGTGTAGAAGAGGTTGATCCCAATACCTCATTTCAATAATTTTCACATGCTTTGGTTTGATCTTTTAGGAAATTTGACTTTATTCTTAAAAACAAACAACACCCCGCCCCTGACTACAATTCTGAATGAGAAGTCACTTAGCCTGACCCTTTCCCACAATTTTGGTTTCAACAAATCAGCCGTTTCCAGGGAAAAATATCCTTTGTCCAAGCAGTTCTGCTGAGAGCTGCTAGGCTGCCCCTGAGGGTGCCAGGATTGTCCTCTCAAAGATCAGCACAAAGGGTGCATTTATAGTCATGGCCATGCTCTCCTGTGTGCTCAGGCAAATGCTTCTACGCAGGCAGTTCTATGCTGTGCTCACACATTCAGGGACACTGGGACAAACTTTGGAAAAACTGACCCTGGATTTACAATGCAACCAACACAATAATAAGCAATCTCCCTTCTTACCTGCAGCCACAGAAATGGTGAGCCCTGTAGCACAAATCAGTGCAAAAAGCAATGAAATCTCACAAGCAGGCACCATCCTTATGGTGGGGATTACAGGTTAGCTTGTTTTATGTGCTGGAAGATCAGGTATAAAGGTTCCACCATGAATCAGCCTTGCCCGAGGGGCTGCAATTCAGGTCTCAAACATATTTTGGATTAACCGTCGAGACCATGACTGAACGCGGACTGCTCTGGCATCTTGCAAAGGAAAATAATTATTAACCTGAATCTGGGCACAGGTCAGACAAAATCACCTGGGAACAAAAGTACACAATCATAGTTTCTAACTGCTTTTAATCCCACAGACTGGGTATTACCCAAACTCCCCTCGACTACTACCACCTACTGGCTGAAATCACAGCAGCTGGCTGCTTCCTTAACACTAACCGAAACCAGACAAACGTATGTTATTCAGTCCCACTGAAAAGCAACATTGCACCCAGGGGAGTTTGTTGGGCTCTCCAGGGATCCCATCCCCACAATTCATCCCCTCCCCTGAGATAACAAAGCTAAACAGCAGCATTTTCCAAGTTTTGGCTGTTTGTCCAAGATAAAAAATGCTGGGGCAGGGAGGGGTTTGCGGGGATGACACTAAAGGCAAGGGGCAGATTACAGCCATATTCTGTTTCTGTGCACCAAGCTGGAGAGGGTTTGTGGAGGAGCTGCCATAGCATCCTCAAAAGAACAAGTTGCTTTCTTCCAGTACCTGGGGAGGGGGCAAGCTACCCCAACAGGAGCAGGGAGGGCTAAAGCCCTGGTCACTCCTCAGCTGGTGAGCAGAAATAGGTGCCCACTAGGTGGGGGGGTCGGAGTCCAGCCTCTAGTTGTCTGGTGTGGCAGACCACTTTCCCCTGCACTCTGGGGAGCTCTGTAGAGAAGCACACGTTCTCCCATGGGGGTTAACTAGCACCACCACATCCTTAGGGCTAAGCCTAAGAGTCACAACCTGGTCTCCAGAGGGCCAGATCCATCAAGGCTCAGTTCCCCCTGAGGTGGGCTTTATTCAGTCCACCCCTGCAGGACAGATGTGCCCTCTGTTCTTCTCCAGATGGGCTCATCTTCCTCTTCCCACTCCCTTGAGGAATCTCTTAGCTTCCTCCCAAACAAAAGCCCAGGTGGTCCACAACAATCAACTCCACTTTGCGCTGTTCTTGGCTTCTCTGCCTTGCTACTCTACCTGGGACAGAGTTTCAAAGATTCATATATATGTTTGGGTCAGAAGGGACCTCAGTAGATCATTGAGTCCGACCCCAGGTATTACACATATTAAATCCCTTGCCTTGGCTTTAACCAACCTCCAGCAGGAAACTAATAAGTCTTCTAGGCTTAAAATACATTAAAAGATATTCAGAATAACGTAAATGCCATGGCTGGAGCTGCTGAAGGTGTCTTTCAGAAGAACTATTTCGAGCTGAAACATGCACGCGCTCAGCACTCACCATGGTAAGTAGATTCATGTCAGTACTTAACAGACAGAGACACAGGGAACCACTTTAAACATGCTCTTTAAATGAAATAATCACTTAAAAACAGGTAATTAGCAGAGGCATAAGGAGCAGGGCAAACCCCTCAGGAGAGTGAGGGGATGGGGTCAGGGAGGTGCTGCTGAGTGCCAGAGGCGTAGGAGCTCCCGGAGGGAGGCACGGGAGTCTTACCTATGCTGTGGATTCAAAGAAACTTTCCCCAGCCGCTGCTTGTTGCTGCCACGGTTGCAGTCCAGTCTGTCCACCCCAGCTTTCAGGTGTAGCGTCTGTGCACCAGGTTATTGCCACAAAAGCAGCTGTGATTAAAATTAGGTAACAATTTCTTCATTTTTAATTTAAATGTCTGCAGTAAAGATGGGTTTTTCAAACTAAAGTCAATTATCAGTAGCAGAATTTGGTGTGAACGAGTGGAGGACCAGATCCTGGACACCAACTAAGTAGGGGCACTAGGCTGCTTCTCCTGCTGGTGCATGGACTCCATAGGGGTGGGGGCAATTCTGTTGGCACCCCTACTAAGTTAGTGCCTGGTGCTCCATTCACTCATGCCAAGTTATGGTGATAGTGGGAATTGATTTTAGTTTTAGAACCACATCTTTACTGCAGACATTAAATTAAAAATGTCGACATTATTGTTACCTAATAATGTGTAGTAGCCACAGCTTACAAGGACCTACACACTGAGGCATCAGGAAGCAAATAAAATCTCAGCGCTCTTGTTTATCCATTTTTCTGAGGAAGAGTAAATGACAGTGACAACAAGAAATTATTTGTGCAAAATGTAACGTGGTGCAGTTTTACAAGATGGTAAAAAAAATCTAGTTAAAAAAAATGCTTTAACCTCTGAGAAACATGTTAATGTTTTGTTTCTCTGTATGTTATTTGTCCTTCTATAGGTTTGGTACATGAGAACCTGAGTTACCCCTTAGCAATATTACAAAGGTCATTCAGAAAGTAATACCTCCTACTTTTTATCCTCAGCCAAATAGGATTGAAAAATATTAAAAACTTGCACAGTGTGTGTACATCACCACTGCATACACAGCTATTTTTCAATATAGTCTCTCTGTGGCCTTTTTCCACTGGTGAACAAGGGCTCATATCCTGTTATTGAGGGTTAGACAGAAAGTAATGCATCCCAATTTCTATTTTCTAAACAAGCCACGGGCATGGAGGCTGTTCTTATTGAGTTTTTCCCTAAGGAAGCCAACCCCTGCAACAGACTTAGGTTAACTGGAAGAAGAGGATGTCCAACTTTTGACACTGCTCAAATAGTAATGGAACAAATCCTCAGATACATTTTTGCCTCTATTACGAGCAGCTCGCACAAGATGCAACATTTTGTCACTAATCACTGCAGGCTTTTCAGGTACAAAAAACACTGAGCAATCAAAACAGCGATTCCTTGGCCTGTGCTCAAAGTACTATACTACTGCTGCCACACACCGATTTCCTTCGTCTGCATGTGTAGCTTTGATTTTATCAGCTTCCCACTGCCTCAGCTGCACCATGCAGTCGCATGACTTTAAAGTGACCCACATGCCGGCAACTCAGTTTGGAAGGCATCACATCTGCGCCTGTAGGTATCCTGTGCTGAGTACAGCAAAACAAGTCTGGGTCTTTCCAAACTTTGCTACTCATCTTGCAATGGTATCTGAGGAAGAGCTTATGAATTTTTTACCAGATCAAATTTGTGGCAGAATGCAATCCAGTACTACCAAAATCACCCGAACGAACACTTTGATCATTTACCGTTCTTTTATAATACTAAGCAGGTTATTGCTTTAACCCTGATATTCACCCCTTTAAAAACATGCATTACAAGTACACAATATTTTTTCATTTTTTTCATTAAAAAAAAAAAACTGCAAGTGGCCGATTGGATGCAATACCCTGCTAACTAACGTCTTGTAGAAAGCTGGTTTATGTTTCTACAGTATGTTGAAGCCTGCTTGGTTTCAGCGAAATACTGGATCCCGAAAGCTTTGGCTTTCATTTCAACAACAGCTTCTCCACCACATATTGAGAAATTTCTTATTGTAATATTGCATACAACTGGCTTAACTTGTCTTTTCTTTTTTTCTTTTGAAGGACACAACCATACTACTGAAGTTAATAGTTTAAGTCAATCCCTCATCTTAAGTCCTCAAAACAGACATCTCTTCCTTCACTCTTTCAGTGCCTCACACAAGACAGACATGAAGTCAATTTATGGTTAGGAGTTGCAGAGTTTACATGAAGAATTAAGATAGACACACTCAGCACTGTAAGTCAGGGACACATTGGTTTATTCGGATACAAAGTTAATTTAAACTAGGGACAGGTTGATTTATTCAGATACAAAGTTAATTTAAACTACCCAAAGCAGTTACACCCAGGTGTGAAGCGATACAAATTACAAAGCCAGGAAACCTAGAGAGATGGGAGTCGGCAGAGATGTGCGCCGATTCTTGGATGCTCTATACTGCCTGATGCCACAGACATGACCGTGGGGGTTGATTCTGTGTGGTTGCCTTTTTACTTTTCTCTCCTGACATGCACAGGGGCCTACTGAACTCAAGGCGGCGGCAGGCCGACTTTGCAGGCAGATCTCAGAGCCGGCAGCCATTTTCATAAGCCAAGTGCAGTGCCCTCCCCCCCGCTTTTGGTGACCCCACCCCATGCCACTGATTGGCTGTAAGGGCTGTCCATCATGTGCCCCTGCCCCCTCGCTGCTGACTAGCTGCTCATCACATGGCCCCACCCCTCACTGCTCATTGACTGTGAAGGCTGTCCATCATGTGGCCCTGCCTCTTGCCACTGATTGGTGGAGGGGGGCAGGGCTGCATAACAGACAACCCTCACAGCCAACCAGTGGCAAGGGGTGGAGGCAGCAGACATCCTGCCCTTGCTCCTTCCAGCTGGGCTGCCATGAGGCTCTCCAGATAGAGCTAGCATTGTATTTTTGGTGATTTTTTCCCCCCAGGAGCCCATGCTTTTTCACAGAGCCTGTCTAAAATCGCAGTTTCTGTGAAAACTGCACAATTGCGATTTTTGTAGCTCCTTAGTTATGCATCTTTGTAGACTAACTACAAAAAACTCATAAAATTAATCATAAAAGTTGCATTAAAAATACACTCAGGTCGCTATTCATTTTGTGCTAATTCGCTTATATGTGACGACCTTATCTATACCAGAAACTTGCCTTGTGCGAGAAAAAAAATTGATCTTATGCGAAGAAGCATGCAACGCGGCAATGCAGTGACGCCAATGATGCATTGTGGGAGGGCGAGTGAGGCAGGTATGTGCCTCAGTCTCACATTGTCCATTGCTCCGTGTGGTGCTACGCTCCTTGCACTTGTATTGTGAAGCATCTACTTACCTTTATTATTGAATTTAGTGAAATGTCATCTAAGTGACCTTCTAGTGCATCTCCTAACCCTCCTCCTGAGCCAGCCATGAACCAAAAAAAGGTGCCTGGTACACATCCCTAGTAATGACATGTAAGAATGGATTTGCTTTATGCAAGGCTTTTTTGAAGCGTGACCCTTGCATAAAAGAGAGACCCAAGTGCAGTGTAGGTGCAAGGAGTTTAGTCAGAACATTAACAATCCTGAGAAGCCGTGTTAATTTGAGACGCAAGGGTGTGTTTTTTGGTGATATATTTTAGAGGACAAACTGAATACTTGGGAGTAGCTTTCTAAATGAGTTCTCAGGCACAAAGTGCTCTTCTTCAGATCTGGAAAAGAAGCAGAGTGCCGAAGCTAAATTCCAGCTAAAACACTGACTTCTGTTTAACTCCAGTATGTAAACGAAAGCAGTTTAAACAAGCGAAAGAGGGCTGTAAAAATTGGGAGCAAAGAAGTTATCAGAAACTGCTAGAAACAAGTAAAAGGGCAGCTGAACTAGATAACCTAATTATGTGAAAGAATAAGAACATCCAAAAACAAAGAGGGTCACTTCTATCTGCGGAGTATAGAGAAATTAAAGACCAGGCAAATTATCATGAGCCATTGCCTATGGTTTTTAGTGTCCAGTAAATTTAGGAATTTTTGTTTCCAGGTTCATGTTCTGGGGGTCTGCTGCAGATTTCATTCAGTACAGAGATCGTGAAAAGTGTTTTCCTTTGCTGACTGGCTATTTTTGCCCTTTTGAATTAATTTGGGAGTGCTGTAGTAGTTTAGTTTCACCCACATAGCTTCCATGGGGGCATCAGATGCACTGGATGAGATGCACCATTTTCTGTGATAGGCATGTGGAGGATCTGTGGATTCTGATGGTTTTGCTGCAGGGTGGTGTTGATTGTACTGGTGATGGAGAGGTGTTGATAAGTTTTGCACTTTGCACTTGTTACTTGGGTATGGTTAAGTTCCGTTTGGTGTTTATTGGTCAGTGGCTTCTGAAGTTAGTCCAATGAAAGTTATCATCAAAACCCCCTGCTTCTCACATATTACTTTGTTCATCATAGCTACAGCACCACTAACTCTACTACTAATCCACAAGGAAAGACAGTTTTTATCTTCAAAGGAGTAAACATTTGAAACAAATGGGTGGACATTTAGGTTTGGCACCACTTCCCTTCTTATCATTAAGATCAACTTTAAGGCATCCTTTAAGATCCTATTCAAGGCTTAAAAATTTGAACCATGATTATCAGATCAGCATTTTGCTTAGACAAGCTGAAGGAACTATTGTAAAATGTTACCAGTTACAGCTCTGTGCGTTTTTCCTTGTCCTTGATTGTTTTTAGTTTCTCAACTAAGCTTTTTGTCCAGAATTCTATTCTCTTCTCTTTTAGTTTCTGTCCTTTCCCTTGCTTTAGATTAAATTCCAGGTATTGCTCCTTCAGGTCAAAGACTGGCCATTCCACCAAATCGTTGCCATTAGGATTTCTGGAGAAAACCATAATGAAAAATACAATTCCCATTTAAACTGTTGAGAGCTGACAAATGCAAACACTACTACATAATTTTACTGCATCATGCATCTTACCCATTCCGTGCAAAGTTAGCCCAATATTTCATCATTTTTCGGCTGAGCTGTTTCTCTTCCTCCGTACCATCACCTGAAAGAGGTTACAAAACTTTAGCGTAGCCAGTAATCAAACTATTACGAATGAAATGCAGACTCCGATAGCATGGGCAAATAAAACTTATGAAGAAACAGACTGCAACAGAACTCAGTTCTCACATCCTTGCTTGCGAGTCACTGAGAGTGAAATATGTATTCATGACAAGTACTTAAGACATACAAGTTACTCCCTCTACAGGACGAGGAACATTTTGTCATGGGATGGTTTCTATCTGTGTACTTCACCCTGGGTACTCCCATGCTCTGGCGATGAGAACAGTAGTATCCATTGCTCCATACTCATCTTGCATCAGTCACAACTGAAGAAAAGGTCCAAATGCTACTCAATCTCTTTTCCACTGCAGAATTCAAAATGTCACAAGACACTGGGGGAAGAGGATGATGGTCCCTGGAATACACAAGACACTGCACCCCAAAGAACTCTACCTACTGTATAGAGGGTAACCTTTTTTTTTTTTTTAATTTCTTGTTATTAAACATATCCCATCATTGGTGTGTCACAAGCAGAGATCTGATTTAAGTGGAAAGATGCTTTCAGTTTAGCTAAAAGGGGATTGTAATAGAGCTCTGCCAAACCCCGCCCCAAAACAAAACATGCAGCCTTGATGCTTCTACAGTGGGACCATGTTGTGTAAAATCATGAATCACTCAGAAATGGTTGTCTTGTAAGATATCTGAAATAAGTGGGAACTACAGAAGTGATGGGGCCCTGGTATGGAAGCTTGAGGACACTCAGGTTCCAGTAGGCACCACTACCCAGAAATCTCCAAGCTCAAGTACATGGGGTGCTGGTGTAATAGGAGCAGAATGGCATACAGGGACAAATTCTTAACAAGACTGTATAAGACTTAACACTGTATAAGACTTAACACTGTATACAACTCTCAGGGTTTAGCCAACTTGATCAAGCCCTCATTCAAACCCTATTTAACAGAGTTGCTGTATATAAAAATATTTTTGCATCTGAAAAAGTCATGGACTACTGCTATTCCTAATGCATTCACATTCCTCATT